TTTTCCTTCTCTCTTCCCTTCCTCCTTCCCTCCCTCATTTTCCTTCCATCCTTCCCTTCCACCCTTCCTTCCTTCCCTCTTTCTCCTTCCTTCCTTTGTGCCTTCCTTCCTTCTCTTTTTTCTTCCCTTCCTTGCTTCTCTTTTTAACTTTTCTTCCATCTCTCTTCCTTCCTTCCCTCTCTCCCCATTTCTCCTTCCATCCTTCCCTTCTTCCCTTTTGTCCTTCCTTCCTTCTCCCTTTCCTTCCCTTCCTTCCTTCCATCACTGGCAGCCAGTCCTTCTATCAGGGAGTGCTAGCATGTGGCCCCCAAGTTGGAAAGTTTGCCTGCTATGGCAGAGAAGGCTGAAGACCTTATAAAACCACATCTCCCACAATCCCCCCAGCACTAAGCCATGGCAGTTAAAGTGGTATTGAACTGTGTTAATTCTACGGTGTAGCGAGGCATCCTAAGAAACAGGGAAGGACTTTGTTTGTCTCGCCGTTCTGGATGAAAGCACAGTCCAAAGGGGAAAAATCATTTTCCGCAGAATCGGCTGATGTTTGTTTTATGTTATACAGATAGGTGGAGAACTGGAAGGGTCTTATCACTACCAGAGGTTCAAGTCAATAAGGCTGGTAACCTCTCCCTGAGGTCATTTAGAAACTCTCAGTGTTGGGGTAGAATAATAGAATCATAGAATTGGAAGAGATCTCGTGGGCCATCTAGTCCAACCCCATTCTGCCAAGAATCAGGAAAATCACATTCAAAGCACTCCCGACCGGACATTGGTAACCGGGTATTAGAAAATGTTGACCATTTCCGCTACCATGGCAGCCACCTTTCCACAAAAGTCAACATTGACACTGAAATACAACACCACCTGAGCTCTGCGAGTGCAGCTTTTTTCCAACTGAAGCAGAGAGTGTTTGAGGACCAGGACATCCATAGGGATACCAAGCTGCTTGTTTATAAAGCTACTAGCTATCCCCTGCCATGCGTTGCTGTGGCCCAGTCTTGTGAGCTGGAAAATAAAGTAATGAGAAAGCGTCGGTTTCTAATATATGTAATGCTTGTGGGTTAAAAGTATTTCTTGTTGTTTCTTTGTCAGTGTTCATGTAGAGATTGTCTGGTTTGCCTACTCTGGAACATGCAACGTATAATTGTCCTTCTTTAGGGGTCCCTTTCAAATCTATGATACTATATCTATCATATACATATCTATATATCTATATCTATGGCTGGATGGCTTTTTATCAGGAGGGCTTTGATTACGTTTTCTTGTCCTGGTGAAGGGAGTTGTACTGGATGGCCTTAAGTATTTTCTGTTGGTCATGGGGGTTCTGTGTGTTTTGTTTGCCCCAATTCTGTCATTAGTGGTGTTCAGAGTACTCTTTGATTGTAGGTGTACTATTTATCCCTGCAACTACAACTCCCAAATGACAAGGTCTATTTCCCCCAAACTCCATCAGTGTTCACATTTGGGCATATAGAGTATTCGTGCCAAGTTTGGTCCAGATCCATCATTGTTTGAGTCCATAGTGCTCTCTGGGTGTAGATAAACTACAACTCCCAAACTCAAGGTCAATGCCCACCAAACCCTTCTAGTGTTTTCTGTTGGCCAGGGGAGTCCTGTGTGCCAAGTTTGGATCAATTCCATCATTGGTAGAGTTCAGAATGCTCTTTGATTGTAGGTGAACTATAAATCCCACCAACTACAATTCCCAAATGACAAAATCATAAATTTTTGAGTGATGGTCACTCCTTGTGTTGTGAGACATTTTGCTGCTAAATTTGGTGTGATTTCGTTCATTGGTTCTTTTGTTTTTAAGGTACTCATTACGCACCGAGCATTTTTATATATATAGATTGTCCTCCCAACCCTGCTATGCGCCTGCGAGACGTGGACAGTCTGCAGACATCACATGCAACTCCTGGAACAATTCCATCAGCGCTGCCTCCGAAAAATCCTGCAAATCTCTTGGGAAGACAAGCGGACGAATGTCAGTGTGCTGGAAGAAGCAAAGACCACCAGCATTGAAGCGATGGTCTTCCGCCATCAGCTCCGCTGGACCTGCCACGTTGTCCGAAAGCCCGACCACCATCTCCCAAAGCAGTTGCTCTACTCCGAACTCAAGAACAGAAAACGGAATGTTGGTGGACAGGAAAAGAAATTTAAAGATGGGCCCAAAGCCAACCTTAAAAACTCTGGCATAGACACTGAGAACTGGGAAGCCCTGGCCCTTGAGCGCTCCAGCTGGAGGTCAGCTGTGACCAGCAGTGCTGCAGAATTTGAAGAGGCACAAATGGAGGGCGAAAGAGAGAAACGTCAAGAGGAAGGTGTGTCAAGCTAACCCCAGCCGGTACCGCCTTCCACCTGGAAACCACCGCCCTTGCTGCAGGAGAAGATACAGATCAAGAATAGGACTCCACAGTCACCTACGAATCCACTGATCTTGGAAGACTATCCTACTTGGACAATGAGGGATCGCCTAAGTAAGTAAGTAAGTAAGTAAGTAAGTAAGTAAGTAAGGTAATCGGGTTTCACTATCCATGGTCTGGATCTCACTATCCACAGTCCGGATCTCACTATCCATAGCTGCCTTAAATTGCTTTATTTCAGCATGACTTGCCTCAGATTCAAACACTGGTCTTCAGAGTCCTAGTCCAGCACTGAAAACACGCCACAACACCAGTTCTTTTCAAGTTCTGATTAAATGAAACGTTGTGTGCTGGTACAGCTGTACCAGGAGCTCCAATTCTGTTTGCTTTGCATTAAATGTTTGTTTGCAATCCCAGGCTTGGGATTTTGCAGCAGGGTGGCTTCCTGTTGTAGTTTGCAATCATAGGGCAAGCCACCTGTCAATTATCGTTAGGTTCCCTGGTCCCGCCCCTTTTTGAGTTTTGGAGGGAATAGGAGCCTTTTTGAGTCAGTTCTCACAGAGAAGCCTTTCGCACAGGACATAAAACCAAGAGCTCCTGTAGAAAGCTTCGTCTTCTACGGCTTGGCCGGGGAGATATACAGCCCACAGCTTGACAGCCTTACAGCTCCTTTGCTGAGGGACTTCAGCCAGCCATCACTGAAACCTGAACTCCTTTTCCCCTGGAAGTCTACAAAGCTCTGCTTGGTAAGGGTCACTCGCGGAAGCCAGAAGCAGTTGGTACCGGGTGCAGGGGCTCCACGCCAACAGAGGCAAAGACAGACTGCCCAGATTAGAAGTTAAGGATTTCCCCATTAGTTAATGTACAGTTTATGAAGATAGTGCCTGTTCCCAGTGAACAAGATTGCAAGAGCCAATAGACCAGGGGTCCCCAAACTACGGCCCGCGGGCCGTATGCGGCCCGCCGAGGGCATTTCTCCGGCCCGCGAGGCCTGGCCTGGCCTGGCCACGCCCACCCGGCACCACTCTGCCCATCACAGGAACTCTCTGCTCTGGCCGCTCTGCTCGTGTGGGAGGGAGAAGCCTTTTGTAGTTTACCTGCCTCCTTGGAGACCAGAGCGGCCGGAGAGGGTTCCTGCAAAGGCCGGAGCGGTGCCGGGTGGGCGTGGCCAGCGGCGCTGGGTGGGCATGGCCAGCGGCGCCGGGTGGGCGTGGCCAGGGTTGGCCACGCCCACCCGGCGCCACTGGCCACGCCCACCCGGCGCCGCTCCGGCCTTTGCAGGAACCCTCTGCTCTGGCCGCTCTGGTCTCCAAGGAGTCAGGTAAACTACAATTCCAAAACCAAAGGACACAGCCCACCAAACCCTTCCAGTATTTTCTGTTGGTCATGGGAGAACTGTGTGCCAAGTTTGGTTCAATTCCACCTTAGATGGGGTTCAGAATGCTCTTTGATTGTAGGTGAACTATAAATCCCAGCAACTACAACTCCCAAACGTCAAGATTCTATTTCCCCCATACTCCACAAGTGTTCACATTTGGGCATATGGAATATCAGTGCCAAGTTTGGTCCAGATCTATAATTGAGTCCACAGTGATTGATGGAGGCAGGTGAACTACAACTCCAAAACCAAAGGACACTGCCCACCAAACTTCCAGTATTTTCTGTTGGTCATGGGAGAACTGTGTGCCAAGTTTGGTTCAATTCCACCGTTGATGGGGTTCAGAATGCTCTTTGATTGTAGGTGAACTATAAATCCCAGCAACTACAACTCCCAAATGTTAAGATACTATTTTCCCCCATACTCCACCAGTGTTCACATTTGGGCATATTGAATATTTGTGCCAAGGTTGATCCCGATCCATCATTGTTTGTGTCCACAATGATCTCTGGATGTAGTTGAACTACAACTCCAAAACAAAAAGGACACTGCCCACCAAACCCTTCCAGTATTTTCTGTTGGTCATGGGAGAACTGTGTGCCAAGTTTGGTTCAATTCCATCGTTGGTCGGGTTCAGAATGCTCTTTGATTGTAGGTGAACTATAAATCCCAGAAACTACAACTCCCAAATGACAAAATCATTTTTTGAGTGAAGGACATACATTGGGTTGTTAGGTGTCTTGTGTCAAATTTGGTGTCAATTCGTCCAGTGGTTTTTGAGTTCTGTTAATCCCACAAATGAACATTACATTTTTATTTATATAGAAGTGTGGGTCTTTGTTTTTTGTTGGGGGGGGGGGGGTTTGCACTGCAAATAAGATATGTGCAGAGTGCATAGGAATTCATTCATGTTTTTTTTTCAAATTCTAATCCGGCCCCCCAACAGTTTGCGGGACTGCGACCCGTCCCTCTGTTCAAAAAGTTTGGGGACCCCTGCAATAGACTGTTAAGAAAGCTTTAGAGTACCTGTTTGTTTTCATTAATAAAGAACTTTGTTGGACTTACTTTAAGCCTCTACAGAACTTTGTTGAAGGAAATCCAAAGGCCTTTAATCTGAGGCAGCCCCGGCGTCCCGTTGGGCACACAGAATTTATGTCCTGTCTACAGTCATATGCACAGGCCCAGCGTGCGACAGCACACTTTGCATTTTTCCAAGCGACCTTTTTATTTATGAAAAGAAGAGAGACACAGGCGCAGGTTGAAGCTGCAGAGTTTATTTCGCACTGCCTGCAGTGCTTAAAAAATACATCGGGCATTCCTTTTTACGGTCCACCCATTGCACGAAGTACTGACAGGATCTGAAGTCTAAATCAGCGATGCATCCAGGAAATATAAAACGGTGAGGATATCTAAAGACACAAACAACGAAACAAATCACAGGGAAAGAGTTTAGCTTTGCAAAGATTTGGACAAAGGTAACTTTGGAGCGATTCCTGTTTGCACCTTTGCAAGTGTCAGTCAGCCCCATCCTGATCAATAGGAAAATAGATCCCTGTTGCTTGCAGCAGCTGCTGTCTGGAAAACCCAGATTTGGGGGGAAGTAGGCCAAAAGATGCTACTTAACAACTTCATCACATAGACTAAATTCCACTGAGTGCTACATTTAAAATTCAGGAAGCCCCAGTTCTCACCACATTTGTTTGACCTCTAGGTAATTTTCAACGGTAAGCAAACAGTATTTTGGCGCCCCCCCCCCTCCTCCCCAACCAATCACTGATATATATTTTCTGTTCGTCGTGGGAGTTCTGTGTGCCATATTTGGTTCAATTCCATTGTTAGAGACCCTAAATTGGGTCTTCTTAGGTTCACGTCGCGGGAGCACAAAAGGAAGGAGACAGTCCCAATGAAAGATAAAAAAAACCCAAGGTTTTATTTTTAATTTCTTCATGAAGAAGACGGACAGCCAGGCAACATACACAGATGTTACCCTTCAAGTGACTGCCGTGCTCTTCCCTTGAAATCTGCAAGCTTTATAGCCCAGTGCAAACAAAAAGGGAAAGTACCACTGCCTGACATCAACAATTTTTAACCTTTAACAAAAGAGAACATTTTCTTTTCATGGAAAGTACTCTCTTTCCAGCCTCTCTCCATTGACCTTTTGATGGAAAGCACCTTCTTGTACATGCATACTCTGCACTTTACCACAACCTTTGAAGTTAACCACAACACATCTTGTGTAAGGATGTACCTTCTACATGTCACATCTTGTTTCTTAAAAACATTTTCTTCCATATTGCTATTTTTCTACAGAGAAAGGGTATGTTTCTCTTTTGCTGTTAATTTCATTAAAAGACCTTTTGCTTAATTTCACTCAGAGACCCTTGAAGCCTCCTTCACCATCATTGGTGGAGTTCAGAATGCTCTTTGATTGTAGGTGAACTATACATCCCAGTAACTACAACTCGCATATGTCAAGGTCTATTTTCCCCCAAGAGCGCCTCAAGAGCGCCCCTGGGCAAAATCAATTATACTGCAAATGCTTACTTTGCGTAATGGGTTGAGCCGCCCCTGAGTGTAGGGGAGAGCAATCTTTGCGTAGTTTTAAGCGTGTTGGCCAGGAGTCTTTTACAACATTTCAGGAGGTGATGGGGGAATGGAATGCTTTTTTCTAAACCACAACAGCTTAAGGTTAGGGTGTTAAGATTCCAGGATCTTATCTGCCATCTGGAGAAAGGGTTACCTCTGTAACTAAAGAAAGGAAAGAATATTTTTGTAGCTTCATCTATTGACTGTTTGTTTGCAACTTTGATGAACTGTGCCAAGTCTTCAAGGACTTTGAATAAATAAATATTCTTTTTTTATGTATTGTCGAAGGCTTTCATGGCCGGAATCACTGGGTTGTTGTAGGTTTTTCCTGGCTATATGGCCATGTTCTAGAGGCATTTTCTCCTGACGTTTCGCCTGCATCTATGGCAAGCATCCTCAGAGGTAGTGAGGTCTTTTGGAAGTAGGAAAATGGGTTTATATATCTGTGGAATGACCAGGGTGGGACAAAGGACTCTTGTCTGCTGGAGCTAGGTGTGAATGTTTCAACTGACCACCTTGATTAGCATTTAATGGCTTGGAAGTGCCTGGGGGGAATCTTTTGTTGAGAGTGATTTGATGTGCCTGATTGTTTACTCTCTGTTGTTTTGCTGTTTGTAATTTTTGAGTTTTTTAATACTGGTAGCCAGATTTTGTTCATTTTCATGGTTTCTTCCTTTCTGTTGAAATTGTCCACATGCTTGTGGATTTCAATGGCTTCTCTGTGTAGTCTGACATGGTGGTTGTGAGAGTGGTCCAGCATTTCTGTGTTCTCAAATAATTCTTTTTTGATGTTTAAACCAGTAATAGTCTCAGTTGCTGAGTATCTCAAGCTTCTCAATATAGACACCTGCAGTTCGTTCAGGCATAGAGAGAAGCACGTTGCAGTTTTATTTTTTATATCGTCAGTGTGTTTTGGGGATTATTTTTATTTCCCCAAAATAAAGTTCCCTATTCTCTATGATTGGTGGAATAGCGTTGGGATTTTTATTATCAAATAAATATATTCCTCAAATAAAATCCCTACTTCTTATAGTGGGCGAGGCTGCAGAACTGTAATGTGATGAGAAATTAACTCAAAGAATGCAGATACATACTGAGTTGCATGGAAGTGTGATGAGGGTAAGCAACTCTCCTGTTTCATAGGAAAGTGGAGCCTTAATGCGATGAAGTCCCTAACCATGCAAAAAGGTATTAGTAACTTACAACTGCAGATTAAACCCTTGTGCCAGCTGAACTGCTGACCTGAAGGTCGGCAGTTTGAATCCGCAAGATGGGGTGAGCTCCCATCTGTCAGCTCTAGCTTCCCATGTGGGGACAAACATTTGGGCGTCTCCTGGGCAACGCCCCTGCAGACAGCCAATTATCTCACACCAGAAGCAACTTGCAGTTTCGCAAGTCGATTTGACATGATTTTAAAAAGCTGCAGATCTTAATTCACTGCAAAAATCCTATATGCCAAAGAAGCCTTCCTTTGCCTGCAGAAGCCTTTGGCTTGTCATAGAATCATAGAGTTGGAAGAGACCTCATGGACCATCCAGTCCAACCTCCTGCCAAGAAGCAGGAATATTGCATTCAAAGCACCCCTGACAGATGGCCATCCAGCCTCTGTTTAAAAGCTTCCAAAGAAGGAGCCTCCACCACAATCCGGGGCAGAGAGTTCCACTGCTGAACGGCTTCCACAGTCAGGAAGTTCTGTCCAATATGTGCAGAGAGGGCTTTCACATCCGCAAAGAGGAACAAGGGAAAGACATGTTATTATTAGAGCATTAGGCCTACCTGCGGCAGCACTCGATTTCACGTTCCCCGCATTTGCAGTTCATGCACCTGGCTGAAGGCCATTCAGTATGAATTTCATGTGGCTTCCCATCAAATGGATCATCACACCCATGAGGAGGCGTGGGTCCACCTAGAAAGGAAGATCTTCTCAGTTCCTCTGGCCATAAAGCCGAAGCTCATTGAGGAGCAGGTCATCAGGTTAGTCTTGAGAAACTACCCTCCATTTGGTGGTTGTGTGCCGTAAGTTTGTTCCCCTTCAAACTATGAGGCCCATCACAAGGTTTTCTTGACCAGAGTGATTCTCTATCTATCACAGTGCTTCTCAACCTGGGGGTAGGGACCCCCTTGGAGGATCAAGAGGGGGTGACACAGGGGTCGCCAAAGACCATCAGAAACCATAGTGTTTTCTGTTGGTCATAGGGGTCTGTGTAGGAAGTTTGGTCCAATTCTATTGTTGGTGGGGTTCGGAATGCTCTTTGATTGTGCGTGAATTATAAATCCCAGCAGCTACAACAACAACAACAACAACAACAACAACAACAACAATAAATAAAACTTTATTTATACCCCGCCACCATCTCCCCAAGGGACTCGGAGCGGCTTACATGAGGCCAAGCCCAACAACAATCAATAAAACAAGAAAGCAATAAACAAAAACAATACAATTAATATAGATCACATAAAATAATAATAATAATAATAATAATAATAATAATAATAATAATAACTTTATTTATACCCCGCCACCATCTCCCCAAGGGACTCGGAGCGGTTTACGTGAGGCCAAGCCCAACAACACATCAATAAAAGAAGAAAACAATAAACAAAAACAATACAATTAATATAGATCACATATAAACAGTAACCAATAAACAATAACACACAAGGATTTAAAAACCTATGGCTGGGCCAAATGTAATAGTTTAAAATTTAAAAAATAAACACTGGGCATGAACAAGGTAGGATATATCTGGTATAGGGTTTTGAAAGAAATGAGGAAGGTTAGTCCATCCTAAACCAATAGTAAAGTGCATTCTGAGGACATATTGCTGGAATTTTCCTTATTCTGGGAAGGCACACTGGAACAGCCATGTTTTCAGGCTCCTCCTAAAGACTGCCAATGTTGGGGCATGCCTGATGTCCTTGGGAAGTGAATTCCAAAGTTGGGGGCCACCACGAAGAAGGCCCTCTCCCTTGTCCCCACCCGAAGGAGGAGGGAGCGCAAGCAGGGCCTCTCCAGATGATTGAAGAGATCGTGTGGGTTCGTACACAGAAATACTGTCAGGCATGTCAAGGTCTATTTTCCTCAAACTCTTCCACCAGTGATCACATTTGGGCCTATTGAGTATTTGTGCCAAGTTTGGTCCAGGTCCATCATTGTTTGAGTCCACAGTGCTCTCTGGATGTAGGTGAACTACAAATCCAAATCTCAAAGTCAATGCCCATCAAACCCTCCAGTATTTTCTGTTGCTCATGGGAGTTCTATGTGCCAAGTTTGGTTCAATTCCATTGTTGGTGGAGTTCAGAATAACTAACTATAACTATAAATCCCAGAGTTAAGACTGCCCTTTGATTGTAGGTGAACTATAAATCCCAGCAACTACAACTCCCAAATGACAAAATCAGTTCCTCTCCCCTGTCCCAACCCCCAACCCTACTAGTATTCTAATTTGGGCGTATTGGGTATTTGTGCCAAATTGGGTCCAGTGACTGAAAATACATCCTGCATATCAGATACTGACATTACAATTCATAACAGTAGTAAAATTATAGTTATGAAATAGCAATGAAAATAATGTTATGTTTGGGGGTCACCACAGCATGAGGAACTGTATTCAGGGGTCGTGGCATTAGGAAGGTTGAGAATCACTGATCCATCAAACAGAAGGGCAGAACTACATTTACTACCTTTAGGGTTGCGTGAATCCTTTCTGTTTTCGTCTCAAATTTCCTGTTCTGTTTTTGGGAAGATTCCAGGAGATTGGGGGGGCGGGCGGGTGGGGGGGGGCATTATTAATATAAGTCAGATCCGAAGTCTCATTTCCATTTTGGAAAGAATCTTCCCAAAAACAAATGTGTGTGTGGGGATGGAGACGGATGGGGGACGGACACGGGCACCCTAAAAGAAAACAATAACAGAAAGGATTCTGTGCCATTTCGCACATTCCTATTAAGAAGCCCTTTGTCCAATCATAACACTATGTAGCACAATTTTTGTTCCTTGGTTATAGACGTCATTTCCTAATTGGGTCTATCATAAAAATATGGGAAAAGTTTATTGAACTGCAAAAACTTTGTGCGGGAAGGACATCCTGTTATAACCCATTTTGCTCTACTTTTTCGATGACTATCTCATAGAGTCCCTATGAAGCTTATGGAGCAGAACAACTACTTTCAAAGTAGGAACTGCACAATTAAACAGAAAATTGCCCTTTCAAACCAGGAACATAATTTTTTCAAATTACATAGTTACATAGTGTACATAATGTAATATTAAAATCAATAAACAGCAGGCTGGTAGAGCATATTACCTGTATGCTTGTACCCAGTCTTGCGATAGGTCGCGCAGTATCCATTGCACCAAGACAGAGAGATAAACAAGATGATCAGACTAAAAAGGGCACTCTGAAAGAGAAGGAAGAAACACAATAAAGCTGCTTGAGTTAGGTATGGGATGGGATATATTGGTGGACACTTTAAATGAGTGGTTTTCAGCCTTTTCTTGACCAGGGACCGCTTCACCAGGGACCTCTTTGACCAAGGACCACTTTGGCCAGGGACCACTTTCACCAGGGATGCCTTTGACCAAGGACCACTCCAGGGACCACTTTCACTAGGGATGCCTTTGACCAGGGACCACTTTCACCAGGGATGCCTTTGATCAGGCACCACTTTGACTAGGGACCACTTTGACCAAGGACCACTCTGACCAGGGATGCCTTTGACCAGGGACCACTTTGACCAAGGATGCCTTTGACCAGGCACCACTTTGACCAGGCACCACTTTGACCAAGGACCACTTTCACCAGGGATGCCTTTGACCAGGCACCACTTTGACCAGGCACCACTTTGACCAAGGACCACTTTCACAAGGGATGCCTTTGACCAGGGACCTCTTTGACTAGGGACCACTTTGACCAGGGACCACTTTGACTAGGGACCACTTTGACCAGGGACCAGTTTGACCAAGGACCACTTTCACCAGGATGCCTTTGACTAGGGACCACTTTCACCAGGAACCACTTTCACCAGGGATGCCTTTGACTAGGGACCACTTTGACCAGGGACCACTTTGACCAATGAACACTTTCACCAGGGATGCCTTTGACCAGGGACCACTTTCATCAGGGATGCCTTTGACTAGGGACCACTTTCGCCAGGCATGCCTTTGACCAGGGACCATTTTTACCAGGAACCACTTTCACCAGGGACCACTTTCACCAGGGATGCCTTTGACCAGGCACCACTTTGACTAGGGACCACTTTGACCAAGGACCACTTTCACCAGGGACCACTTTCACCAGGGATGCCTTTGACCAGGCACCACTTTGACCAGGGACCACTTTGACCAAGGACCACTTTCACCAGGGATGCCTTTGTCCAGGTACCATGTTGACCAGGGACCACTTTGACCAAGGACCACTTTCACCAGGGATGCCTTTGTCCAGGTACCACGTTGACCAGGGACCACTCTCCAACATTAGTATCAAAAGGGTTACAAATCAGTTTCTGGTCAACTTTAGATTCAGTTTGGTTATTTGGGTGCTGATTTAGAAAATAGCATTGGATAGATCACGTCAGCTCTAGTTTCTGATACAGAACATATGCCATCCAGTAGTCGCCATCTGCTTGCCCACAGAAAACCATATTTAATCATCTTGAGCTTTTTGTGTGTGTCAGGAGCGACTTGAGAAACTGCTTGAGAAACATCTAGAACTGATGTGGTCTATTCAATGCAATTTTTTGAATCAGCACCCCAAAAAACCTCAGGAACATGCCTAAAAATAAGGATACCAAGGCACCCCCGCTTCCAGGTGCCACATAGAACGTCTCTGCTCATGGGGAGGGAGGAGGAGGAGAAGCAGCAGGCTTGTTGTCGTGCCTTTTGTGGGCCATCAACCTCTCGCCTCACGACATTCCCGTTGCCTCGGCACTATAGGAGGGTTTCGCAATTTCACTCCCGTTGCAACGGGGTAATAGTGGTGTAGCCATGGACCATATTTTAGAATTTGGAGACCACTAGTGGTCCACGGACCACAGGTTGGGAACCACTTTTAAATCCATTCAGGCTGTGATGTCTCCAACATCTAAGGGCTTGCAAGGTGCTCTCCAAAGTGCCGAACCCAAACTCTGATCAGAGATTAAGATTATCTGGGGAGGCTTGCTCTCAGTCCCACCTCCTTAACAGGGGTGACTGGTTGGAATGAGAGACAGGGCCTTCTCAGTGGTAGCCCCCCTGGCTGTGGAATTTCCTCCCCAGTGGAATTAGAGCAGCTCCCTCCCTTCTGACCTTCAGAAGGAAAGTGAAAAGCTGGCTCTGGGGTCAAGCCTTTGGAGATTAACTGCAGCGCAATAATAGCTATGGAATTATGTGCAATGACTTTTGGAACGCCCCCGGATTATGATTGTGGATGGTGTGATTTTTCATAGTGATTGTAATGTTTTATATATTTTAATTTTAATTCTTTAACTTAATGTATTTTTAACTGTTTGTTCATCTAAGGCATTAAATAGTTTCCATATGTAAAGCCGCCTTGATTCCCCTTTGGGGTAGAGAAAGGCAGCACACAAATAGAGTAAATAAATCAATTAAATGAATAGATTCAGCCTTTTCCAACTTCCTCTGAGAACATAGAATAAATTCAGTTTGACACCCCTTTAGAATAAATTAGAATAAATTCAGTTTGACACCCATGGCTCCATGTGATGAGAGTTGTTGTTTTATAAGGTCTTTATGTTGTTTTATAAGGTCTTTATGTTGTAGGAGAGCCTGTTAGTAATACTGCAAGTGGTAATATGGGTGTCAGAAAGGAGAAAAGGAGTGCTCGTGAGCAAGAGTTAGATGAGGAACAGAGGAAAAGGATCCGGGATATACTTATGTCACCTACCGACGAAGACTCCTTCGAAGGGTTTTCTGAGAGCAAAGGGTCAATGAGTGAGGAGGAGGAGGAGATACAGTGGATGTGAATAGGGGAACTAAGAGGGTTACTCGGGAGCAGGAATCGGATGAGGAGCGACAGAGGAAGAAGATCTGGGATATACTTACTGCTCCCACAGACGAAGAGTCTTTCATGGGTTTCTCTGGGAGTGATGGGTCTGGGAGTGACGGGGATGGGGATGACACACTGGATTGGACCAAGGTTCGAGAGGTTCGAGATGTATGTACTCAGCCAACGTCTAGTGACACGTTTGTGGGGTTTTCTGGTGGTGGGGACTAGCAATCGGGAGATACTGTGGAGTCTTGGGGAGATCTAAGTCTTGACAAGAGAAGGAAGAGTTGGAGGGATGGGCATCAGCGATCAGGTGTAGCAACAAGGACAGCTGTAAGGGATGACAGTGGGGTGGAGTTCAGCTCATCATTGGATGATGAGGTGTAAGATAAAAGTAGGCACTGAAATGGAAGATCTTTGCAGAAGGCAAAGTGTTGATTTCGTGCCTTGGGTTTTGTCGCTGCCACTTTCGTCCTAGATCTGCAGGTTGCTGCTTCTGTTCGTGTTACAACTTGGCTTGGATTCTCGTGAGTGCGGATTTCCCCTTCCTTGACTTCGGACTGCTTTTGACGACGACTCTACCTACGTGGACTTTGGAACCTCGCAACTTCAGACTTGGCTTTCTTCGAACTCGGACTTCTTTTGACTATGTCTCATTCTTCACGGCTCTTTGTTCATCCTTCATTTGCTGTGTCATTTTGTGTGACTTTGGAAGCACTTCAGTTTAATCCGGATCTTTTCTCTGGATAATCCGGATTATTGCTTTAGTTTGTTTTTTTAAGATGAAACTTGCTGCTACTTTTGAGTTTTGATCAGGGACACTGAAGTAAGTGTTTCTGAGTCCTTTTGCTTTGCATTAATAAACTCTACTTTTGGACATACTCTTTAAGGTGTCTGGGTTCCGACACTTTAGCCTTCTTGGCCCAAGAGTGTCGGTGCCTCAGGGGAGTGTGCTCGCTCCATCTGTGTTTAACATCTACACAAATGATCAGTCACTGCCAGAAGGAACAGAGAGTTTCATCTATGCTGACGATTGCACCATCACCGCTCAAGCAGGGAGCATTGAAATTGTTGAACAGAAGCTCTCCAAAAATCTCAGTGCCCTTACTGACTATTACAGGGGAAACCAGCTGATTCCTAATCCATCTAAAACACAGACTTGTGCATTCCATCTTAAGAACAGACAAGCATCTCGAGCTCTGAGGATTACCTGGGAAGGAATCCCACTGGAGCATTGCAACACATCCCAACACCTGGGAGTTACCCTGGACCATGCTCTGACCTACAAGAAGCACTGCTTGACTATCAAGCAGAAAGCGGAGGCTAGAAACAATATCATACAAAAACTGACTGGCACAACCTGGGGATCACAACCAGACACAGTGAAGCCATCTGCCCTTGCGCTATGCTACTCTGCTGCTGAGTACACATGCCCAGTGTGGAACACATCTTACCATGCTAAAACAGTGGATGTGGCTTTTAATGAGACACGCTGTATTATCACAGGATGTCTACACCCAATACTACTGGAGAAAATACCCTGTTTAGCCAGTATTGCATCACCTGACATCCATCGGGAAGTAGCAGCCAATAATGAAAGGACCAAAGCAGTGACATCTTCGACCCATCCTTTGTTTGGCTATCAGTCAACATCTTAAATCAAGAAATAGTTTTCTAAGATCTACAGAGACACTCGCTGGAACACTTCAGCAAGTGAGAGTCCAAAAGTGGCAGGCTAAAACCCAGAACCTCAATCAATGGCTCATACCAAATGAGAGACTCCCCCTGGGGTTGAATTGGAACTTTAAAGAATCCTCATTGAGCCCAAATCAGGAAAATGTACAAGGAAAACTATTTTGGATGCCATTGCAATTCCACTGTTCTTTCCAGCATCTTTGTTGATCTCAATTCTTCAAATTCTACAGGAGAAATGGAAAGGACAACCTGTGTCCCACTTACCATTCTGCATTTCATCTGACTCACTGCTCTCGCTCAGAAGTCGTGTCTCTCAGATAAAAATTGTTGAGAGAAACTGCCACCAATATTTATACAACGGAGAAGACAACTTCCGTTGCCTTGTTCCTCTGGAGCAGCAAATGCACCCAGGTAATGTCTTTAAAGAAGGCAGTGTTGACTGTTAATGGCATTGCAGCTTGTTCCACATGGAGGCAATGAAGGATCTCGCCACTTGTATCAGATCTGGGGATGTTGATAAAGAACACATTGCAACTAGAATAAGGACATCTTGTCTAACTTTACCTGAGCACCATGGGACAGCAAACAATATAGAGAATGGAACCAGATGTCAAGAGTGGGAGAAAAGGCTCTCCTCTACCTCCACTATTCACTTCATTGACATTGTCTTATGATTTGAGATCTTGCAGGCTCTGGAGACAACAGCCTGAAACAATGTGTTTTTAGATAGAAGACCCAAATACGAAATGAGGAAAGTCACGTTACGTTAGGCGATTCCTCATAGTCCAAGGATGATGGTCCTCCAAGTGTAGTGTCCTGGTGGTGGGTCCGTAGGTGACTGTGGAGCCCTATTCTTGATCTGCAACTTCTCCCACAGTGAGGTCATTAGTTTCAAGGTGGAAGGTGGTCCCGGTCGGGGTTGGCTTGACGCACCATCCTCTTGGCAAGTTTCTCTCTTTTGCTCTCCATTCGGGCCTCTTCAAATTCTACAGCACTGCTGGTCACAGCTGACCTCCAGCTGGAGCGCTCAAGGGCCAGGGCTTCCCAGTTCTCAGTGTCCATGCCAGAATTTTTAAGGTTGGCTTTGAGCCCATCTTTAAATCTCTTTTCCTTCCTTCCAACATTCCGTTTTCTGTTCTTGAGTCCGGAATAGAGCAACTACTTTAGGAAACGGTGGTCGGGCATCCGGACAATGTGGCTGGTCCAGCAGAGTTGATGGCGGAGGACCATCGCTTCAATGCTGGTGGTCTTTGCTTCTTCCAACATGCTGACATTTGTCCGCTTGTCTTCCCAAGAGATTTGCAGGATTTTCCAGAGGCAGCGTTGATGGAATTTTTCCAGGAGTTGCATGTGACGTCTGTAGACATATAGCAGGGTTGGGAGGACAATAGCTTTATAAACAAGCACCTTGGTCTCCTTACGGATGTCCTGGTCCTCAAACACTCTCTGCTTCATTCGGAAAAAAGCTGCACTCGCAGAGCTCAGACAGTGATGAATTTCAGTGTTAATGTTGACTTTGGTGGAGAGGTAGCTGCCAAGGTAGCGGAAATGGTCAACATTTTCTAATGTTACACCATTAAATTGTATTTCTGGCATTGGAGAGGAATTGGCTGGTGACTGCTGGAAGAGCACTTTGGTTTTCTTGATGTTTAATGACAGGCCGAGCTTCTCGTAAGCTTCCGCAAAGGTGTTTAGAGTGGCTTGTAGGTCTTCTTCTGAATGAGCACAGACGATGTTGTCATCAGCATACTGGAGTTCTATAACAGATGCTGTTGTAACCTTGGTTTTGGCTTTCAGTCTGCTGAGGTTAAATAGCTTACTACGGTACCTGTCCGATAGATAATTTCCACTTTAGTGGAAGCTTCCCATCAACAAGATGAAGTATCATAGCAATGAAGATGAAAAATAAGGTTGGGGCAACAACACATCCCTGTTTGACACCTGATTCCACCTTAAATGGGTCACTTTGGGAGCCATTGCTGTCCAAGACTGTTGCTATCATGTCATCATGGAGGAGCCGCAGGACGTTCACAAATTTGTTAGGGCACCCGATTTTTGGAGAATGGTCCAGAGAGTGCAATGTATTTTTAGATAGAAGACCTGAATACGAAAATTAGGAAAGTATTCAAGTACCAATGGAAGAGGGTGTGAAACTCAAATCTGCAGTAAATTAGGCCACACCCGAGAGCTTCTATCCAGGAGAACTTGGGGTTCCTCTAGAAACCCTTCAAGTTCAACATTCCCAGCTCCCTAAACCACTCCTCAGAGCAGTGGTTCTCAACCTGTGGGTCCCCAGATGTTTTGGCCTTCAACTCCTAGAAATCCTAACAGCTGCTAAACTGGCTGGGATTTCTGGGAGTTGTAGGCCAAAACACCTGGGGACCCACAGGTTGAGAACTACTGCATCAGAGGGACAAAGCACTGGAAATAAACAAGATGAACTTGTACTCTTAATACAACAAAGCACTCATGCTCTAAGTGCCATCACTGAAACCTGATGGGATGAGCCTCGTGGTTGGACTGTAGTAATAGAGGGCTATAACCTATTTCTGAAAAAGAAACCAAACAAAGAGCAGCAGCATTGTAAAGGATGTTTACACCTGCAAGGTCCATGACATACACCCTGGCTTCTAAGCCTTTGATCCTTTGGATTGCTTTTCTCTGGACGTCTTCTAACCTGTCCACCTGATTTTCTTGGCAGAGTGTATCTTCTCACAAAGAACAGGAGAGTTGCACTCTCCCATTACTACTGCATCTCTCCTTTTTGAATGTGTGGCTATCTGTTCTAGGAAGATACCATCCAGGTCCCAATTCTGGCTTGGAGGCCTGCAGTAGAAAAAGACATCTTTTTCAGCTCTCCTTCCCTCAAGTTTTTACTCAATCTGACCGCTAGGGTGTAAGTCATGGACCTCCTCACAGGTGTAAACATCCTTGTTCTACAATGCTGCTCCTCCACCCTTCTTGTTCAGTCTATTTTTCAGAAATAGGTTAAACCTCTCCATTGGTACAATCCAATCATGAGATTCATCCCGTCAGTTACACTGATGCCACTTAGATAATATCTGCTTCGCTGTATTAAGAGTTCAAGTTCATCTTGTTTATTTCCAGTGCTTTGTGAAATAGTGTAGAGTCACCAAAGAGCATGCACCACCCTCCTCCAGCTGCCTATAATACACTTTATTTATATTCTGCTTTATCTCCCCAGAGGGACTCAGAGCAGATTACAGTACATATAAGGCAAATATTCAATGCCATTGTATTGTCGAAGGATTTCATGGCTGGAATCACTAGGTTCTTGTGGGTTTTTTGAGACTATAGGGCCATGTTCTAGAGGCATTTCTCCTGACGTTGCCATAGATGCAGGCGAAACATCAGGAGAAATGCTTCTAGAACATGGCCCTATAGCCCCAAAAAACCCACAAGAACCTATTCAATGCCATTTTACACAGATAAGGTACAGACCATTTCCGTTTTCCTTCTCCGGCACCTGGAGGCGCTGCTCAATTTCCTGCCATGGGGAGGTGCTCTTTTTCCATTTTCCATGCCGAAGGAGCCTGCTGTCCATAGACATCTCCAATCTTTTTTTGCCAGAATATCTGCATGAGGCGCCCTTTTACCTTCCCGCCAAAGCGGTACTTATTGATCTATTCACATTGCATGCTTTTGAACTCCTATTTAAGTGTTTTTCCTTCTCTTTGTTCAGTACTTGTACTTCTTGCCCAATTCTCTCTATGATAATTCAGTTATTCTCTCCTGCTTACCTACGAGGGGTGTTCATTAAAGATCTCCCCTGACCTACTTCTATTTATCACAGGACGCTGAAACTGCACATGTGTAATGATATAAGTCTCTATAGGTTATGTGCCAATTTACAACTCAGAACTGATAACGGCCTTGAATTTATACGTGCTGAAGTGGTGTGAGGCTTGAGAATGGACCCAGTAGAATACAGAGCACTCCTCAAGTTCCTTGACTTGAAAGGCCGCACACCAAAGGAGACATTCAATGAGATGGAAGAGGTTGATGGGGATGATTACCCATCATATGATGTAGTCAAGAACTGGCATCATCAATTCCAATGTGGCCGGACTTCAGTGGAAACAGTTCCAGTTCTAGAGCGACCCAACTCTGCTATTGATGAACACACCATCCAGCAAGTAGAGGTCGCCATTTTGGAAAATCGCTGCATTACCATTGGCCACCTAGCCCAAAATGTCAAGATGAGTGTGGGGTCCGTGGAAAAAATCACCCAAGACCACTTTCCTATATATAAGGTATCTGCTTGCTGGGTCCGCTGTCTGCTCACACCTTTCCAGAAGCAGGAATGAGCCAAATGCTCTGAGGCTCTCATGACAATGATGTGCCATGGAAACCTGGAGGACTTTTTCAACAGATTGATCACACAGGGTGAAATCTGGGTCCATCACTCTGATCCTGAAGCTAAAGTCCAATCAATGCAATGGAACCATCCAGACTCACCGCCTCCACAGAAGGCACGTGCCCAACTCTCAGCAGGCAAGGTCATGCTCACAGGATTTTGGGATCAGCATGGAGTATAATTGAGGGATTTCCTAGCAAAGGGGATCATGATCACTGGGACAGACTGCACTTCACTGCTGCGGAAATGGTGGGAGGCCATCCAAACCTAAAGACAATGTGGCATGTTTACCCAAGGTGTCTGCCTTCTACAAGACAATGCACCAGTTCACAACACATGTTGCCCAAATGGAAGAAGCATGCTCCTCTGGCTTTGAAACACTATCAGATCCCCCTTGTTCACCCGACCTCACACCATTGGACTTCCACCTCTTTCCAACAAGGAAGTTATTTTTGAAGGGAAAGCATTTCTCAGGTGATGAGGCTCTGATTTCCACAACATGGCTTTTAGAGCAACCTGTCGACTTCTACAAGCAAGGTGTTTACAGTTGCTTCAAAAGATAGGAGACGTATGTGTCCTGAGGTGGCACCCATGGAGAAACAGACTCAGAACTTGTCAGGTTTTACAATGTATTGTAATGTAATATAGCTGAGTCATGCACTGCTAATAGGCTTCTATTGGAAATGCTGAGCCATGCATTAACTGTATATAGGGAATCATTTGGGGAATGTGTTCTGGCCTAGTCCAGGTGATTGTGAATGATGTAATCCTGGGTCTGAGCTAAGTTAATGAGTTGGGAACCAATCAGAGATTGCTATGTGTAATTGTATAGAATTGTATATAAGGAAGTCATGTACAGTGTATATCTCTCCTTGTTCTGTGATGTTGTTCGTCGAAGGTTCTATGTAATTGATTAAAAGAACCTGTCTGCTAAGACAAGATATAACTGTATGCTGTGGTAAGTTTGTAATGTCATCTAGACTGGGGGAAAGACAATGGTAAAACTGACAATGGCTGGGCATTTGCTCAAGTGTCTGTAAAAGATTCCAGAGTGACTGCAGTTTGTGGGAGCAGTTGACTGAAAATACTGTGCAGGAAGAAGCTACTGGAAAGCGCTGAAGTTGTGCAACTGATCTGCTGCTGAATTGTGAAGTTAATCTCAACCAAGGTTCATTGCTCTCAGTCCACAGGAAGGGGGTCAGGGGAAATATTTCATGAACGCCCCTCGTATCACAGATTTTCACCCAGCTGATATTTGCATTTTTAAACACACAATATAAAGACATAGTTTGATTTATTAAAAGGAGAGAGACATGCACATTGGCTCAGCTGTATCATTTATTCAGCTTTCCTTTAAGATTGTGGGGTACATGACTTTGAAGGATCCCCGATTTCGTGCACGATGTAAGAACACTTTTCCGAGTCTAAAGTGACAGCGCATCCAGGAAATGATCCCACAGCAGGATATCTAAATGCACAAAAGAAAAAACCCAGAGAAATCGCATGTCAAGAGTTTAAACTTGCAAAGATTCAAACAAAAGAGCATCTTGCAGGAGGAGTTGCATATCTCAGTCTGATGCAACTCGATCTAAAGGAGTCCTGTTGCTTGCAGCAGCAGCTGTCCAGAGAGCCCAGATTTGGGGGGAAAGCAGGCTGAGAGATGCCACTTAACCATGCAATGAAGTACATAAGTAAGTAGTTCAGTGTTTCTCAACCTTCCTAATGCCTCGACCCCTGAATATAGTTCTACATGTTGTGGTGTCCTCCCAACCATAAAATTATTTTCCATGCTACTTCATACTGTAATTTTGCTACTGTTATGAATTGTAATGTAAATATCTGATATGCAGGATGTACTGTATATACTCGAGTATAAGCCTAGTTTTTCATCCTCTTTTTAAGGCTGAAAAAGTCCCATTCGGCTTATACTCGAGTCACGATTATTTATTATTTAATTCTATTATTATTATTATTATTATTATTATTATTATTATTATTATTATTATTACTATTATTATATTATTTTCTATTTTTATTGTTATTACTTTATTGTTATTACATTTATGATTTTACTCTATTATTATTGGAAGGATACATAAGCACATTTACACTGAAGAAAGTTAGAATGGTTTAATCAGAGTTGGACAGTCTTATCTTAAATTACAGTTTTATGTAAATATTCAAAAACATTTAACCTACTGATGCCTCAATTAATGTCATAGTATGGAATCTATTTTTATTTTGGAATTTACCAGTAGCTGCTGCATTTCCCACTTTTGGCTTATACTCGAATCAATACGTTTTCCCAGTTTTTTGTGATAAAATTAGGTGCCTCGGCTTATATTTGGGTCGGCTTATACTCGAGTATATACTGGATTTTCATTCAGAGGTCCAAATTTGGAACAATGTGCCCAAATTTGAATACTGGTGGGGTTGGGAGGAGGGGATATTGATTTCGTCTTTTGGAAGTTGTAAATGCTGAGATTTATAGTTCACCTACAATCAAAGAGCATTCTGAACTCCACCAACGATGGAATTGAACCAAACTTGGCACACAGAACTCCTGTGACCAACAGAAAATACTGGAAGGGTTTGGTGGGCATTGACCTTGAGTTTTAGAGTTGTAGTTCACCTACATCCAGAGAGCACTGTGGACTCAAACAATGATGGATCTGGACCAAACTTGGCACAAATACTCAATATGCCCAAATGTGAACACTGGTGGAGTTTGGGGAAAATAGATGACATTTGGGAGTTGTAGTTGCTGGGATTTATAGTTCACCCACAATCAAAAAGCATTCTGAACACACACACACCCACCAATGATAGAATTGGGACAGACTTCCCACACAGAACCACCAAGGCTTGAAGGGACCGCTGACACGAGCCTCCTTCCAGTCTCACTTGCTCTTCCTCGCCCTCACATGCACACCACACTGCCATGTGTTGAGCACGCCTGCTTTCCCCTCCCCACTTGGAGTCTCAGGAACAGCCTTCCCTTTGGCTGAGAGGCCGGTCAATCACAGTATTTATTTATTTATGTATTTATTTATTTATTTACAGTATTTGTATACTGCTTTTCTCACCCTGAGGTGGACTCTAAGTGGTTTACACATAAGTAATGGCAAAAATTCAATGCCAGTAGAAACAATTACAATTAGACATAAATCAAATTTTAAAAATACACCCATGAGCAATAAAACAATGATTAAAACAATAAAACAGTCTCGTCCATCAAATCGCCATTCTAGTCATTGTCTTTCTGAAATGCTGCATACATTTACTTCTACTGCCCGAAGGCCTGGTCCCAAAACCATGCTTTTAATTTTTTCCTAACAGCCAGGAGGGAGGGAGCGGATCTCACCTCATTTGGGAGTGTGTTCCATAGGCGGGGGGCCACAGATGAGAAGGTCCTGTCTCTCGTCCCCGCCAGGCGCATCTGTGCTGTTGATGGAAGCGAGAGCAGGGCCTCCCCGGATGATCTTAGATTACCAGGTGGGACGTAGGGCCGGATGCGTTTGGACAAGTAAGCTGGGCCAGATCCATATAGAGCTTTATAGGTCAAAACCAGCACTTTGAATTGGGCTCGGAGATGGACCGGCAGCCAGTGGCTCTGGCATAGCCGGGGGTGGTATGCTCCCTCTATGCTGCCCCAGTTAGTAATCTGGCTGCCGCCCGTTGAACTAACTGAAGTTTCCGAACTGTCTTCAAAGGCAGCCCCACATAGAGCGCATTGCAGTAACCTATTCGGGATGTAACCAGAGTGTGGACCACCGTGGCCAGATCAGACTTCCCAAGTTACGGGCACAGCTGGTGCATGAGTTTTAGGTGTGCAAAAGCTCCCCTGGCCATCCCCGAAACCTGGGGTTCCAGGCTCAGCGATGAATCCAGGATCACTCCCAAGCTGCAAAGAGGGCTTTTGGTGGGAAGATTCACCCTCTGTTTCCAAAAAGGAAGAGAAGGACAGGCAGAGGGATCCTCAGCCTTCTCTGCCAAAGGAGTTCCCAAGACTATCAGAAGTATATGTTTTCTGGTGGTCTTTGGCGACCCCTCTGAAACCTCCTCATGACCCTCAGGTTGAAAAATGCTGAAGCAGTTGGTCTAGTGTTGTGACCTATAGCTATAGGTCTTATTACAAGATTCACACACCTAAGAAGCTTCCCTTTACCTGCAGAAACCTCTGGCTTGTGTTGTATCCCCAATGATTAAAGAACGCTTTTGCAAAGAAACGACTATTGGACGAAGAGGCAGAATATCCTTTTAAACAGCACCCGAGTGATGTTATACCAAGCTTACCAGATCTCTGAGGGTTTTTGCCTCCACACAAAGAGGAACAAAATGAAGATGGGTTATTATAGCTTTGGGCCTACCTGTGGCAGCAGTTGACTTCTTCCTTGCTGCATTCACACTTCAAGCAATCAATTGTGTTCCATGTCGCTCCAAGTTCATGTTTTTCCCCATTATACGGATCGACACATCCCTCAGGAACCACCAGTTTACCTAGAAATAGAATCCCTTTCACTTACTCCAGCAATAAATCCAACATTTCCAAAGGACAGCGTGAAGTCACTCAAGAAATCTCAGATTAGTTTTGAGAAACTGCCCTCCACATCGCACTAGTGTGCTTTTCTGACAGATGGAGACCCTAGGTCATGCATGGTCAAACCCAGGCCCAGGGACCAGATGCGGCCCCTTGGCTTCTTTCCTCCGGCCGTCTTCTCTCTCCTCATCCTATACTTCCTTCTTTCTTTCTTTCCTCCCTCCCTCCCTTCCCATCCCTCTTTTTCCTTTCCATCCTTCCCTTCCACCCTTTCGTCATCCTCCCTTTTGTCTTTCCTCCTCTTTTCCTCCCCTTCCCTCCCTCTTTCTCCTTCCATCCTCCCTTCACCCTTTCGTCCTTCCTCTCCATCCCTCCCTTTTGTCTTTCCTTCCTTCTCTTTCCTTCCTCCTTCCTTCCCTCTCCATCCTTCCCTTCTACCCTTTCGTCCTTCCTTCCTTTCCTCCTTTTTCTTTCCTTCCTTCTCTTTCCTTCCCCTTCCTCCCTCTTTCTTCTTCCATCCTTCCCTTCCCTTTTCTCCTTCCCTCCTTTCCTCCCTTTTGTCTTTCCTCCTCTTTCCTTCCTCCCTCCTCTTTTTTCTTCCATCCTTTCCCTCCCCTTTTCTCCTTCCCCCTTTTGTCTTTCCTTCCTTCTCTTTCCTTCCTCCTTACCTCCCTCCCTCCCTTCCCTCCCTCTTTCTTCTTCTATCCTTCCCTTTCATCCTTCCTTTCCTCTTTCCTCAATCTCTCCCTTTCTCCTTCCTTCCTTCCTTCCTTCCTTCCTTCCTTCCTTCCATCCATCCTTCCCTTCCACCCTTCCACCCTTCCTTCTTTTGTCTTTCTTCCTTCTCCTCTTTCTCCCCTCCCTCCCTCTCTCCCTCTTTCTCCTTCCATCCTTCTCTCCCTCCCTTTCTTCCTTTATCTTTTCCTTCCCTTCCCTTTCTCTTCCTCCCTCTCCTTCCTCTCTCTCCCTCTTTCTCCTTCCATCCTCCTTCCTCCCTTCTTAGCCCTCCAAACCTATAATTGGGGGCGGGGATGGTATGTCACCCTATGGAGACATACCATCTAAAAAGCTTTGTCTTTTCAGTTTCAGCCATTTTGGAGGCCTAAGTGAGGATGGAACCATCTTCCTCCCTCCCTCCTTCTTTCTTTCCTTACCTTTCTTCTTCCTCTCTCCTTTCTTCCTTCCTTCCTTCCTTCCTTCCTTCCTTCCTTCCTTCCTTCCTTCCTTCCTTCCTTCCTCCTTCCCTTCCTTCCTTCCTTCCATCACCGGGCAGCCAGTCCAGGCTTGCCCTAGGTGAACCCATCACATTTCTTGGCAAGTTTTGCTCAGAAGAGATTTGCTGTTGCTTCCCTTCATCACATAGTTTAATAAGAGAATTGCACCTTCAACTAAACTATGGGGGTATTATTTGTTGCTTTGCTCTCTATCTCTAAGATGTTCAGCCTAATGAATTAATGCCATGGTTTGGGCTGTGTGCATGTGGGCGTCTCCATGCCCCCTGACTCTAAATAAGTGCCAAGGGAGGTCCCTTGGACCAGAACAGTCCTCCGCTCAGTTCCTGAATCTATCCGAGTTGGAAAGGGAAATGGATTTCTAATTCCATCATGCCAAAATGACAATTCCTACCATTGAATAACCCTCTCTGTTAAAAAAAGGGATTCAAATAAATAAACACCAGGCTGGTAAAGCACATTACCATCTTTCATCTCTGCATTCTTGGGCTGAGTACTGCAAGCCCCATTGCACAAAGCCAGAGAGATGGACAAGGCGATCAGACTGAAGAGGACTTTCTGAAAGAGAATGAAGGGACACAACTGCTGTGGATCAATGTGAGGGAATCCTGGAATTTGTAGCCCTGTGACGTCTTTTGCCTTCTCTGCCAGAGTGTCTTTTGCCTCACCAAGCAATGATCAACAATTAGGGGTCACTGTGTATTTTAGCAAAATCAATTCGCTCCCATGTCACCAAGTGTCCACTCTGAGGTTTAATTGGAACTTTATTTTGTCGAAGGCTTTCATGCCTGGAATCACTAGGTTCTTGTGGGTTTTTTCGGGCTATATGGCCATGTTCTAGAGGCATTTTCTCCTGACGTTTCGCCTGCATCTATGGCAAGCATCCTCAGAGGTAGTGAGGTCTGTTGGAACTAGGAAATGGGTTTATATATCTGTGGAATGACCAGGGTGGGACAAAGGACTCTTGTCTGCTGGAGCTAGGTGTGAATGTTTCAACTGACCACCTTGATTAGCATTTGATGGCTTGGAAGTGCCTGGGGGGAATCTTTTGTTGAGAGTGATTTGATGTGCCTGATTGTTTACTCTCTGTTGTTTTGCTGTTGTAATTTTTGAGTTTTTTAATACTGGTAGCCAGATTTTGTTCATTTTCATGGTTTCCTCCTTTCTGTTGAAATTGTCCACATGCTTGTGGATTTCAATGGCTTCTCTGTGTAGTCTGACATGGTGGTGGTTGGAGTGGTCCAGCATTTCTGTGTTCTCAAATAATATGCTGTGTCCAGGCTGGTTCATCAACAAAAGATTCCCCCAGGCTCAGCCAGGCCTTCAAATGCTAATGAAGGTGGAACTTTATTTATTTATTTGGAAGTTTTCTATACCGGCCTTCTCACCTCAACGAGGGACTCAGGTCGGTTTACAACATATATGCAAATACAATAATATATAAGTACAACAAAGTGCAACGTCATTACAGATTAAAATAGTACAATAAAGTACAATTAAAACATCATCATCACAATTACCCAAGCCAAGTCATCATTCCAGTCATAGTCATAGTCATAGTCATAGTCACAGTTCATTATAGATTCAGTCCTCGAATGCCACATTGCACACCCCATATATATATATATAAGGCTTGGGCGGTTTCGTTCGTTAATTTCGTAATTCGTTATTAATTCGTATTTAAATTAGCTTACGATCCAATATTGAGCCATGCAGGAATAGTGTGAGGAGTAAATTAGATTCGAAACAATTTTTTCAATTTATTTCGTAATTATTTCGTAATTATTTCAAAATTATTTCGTAATTATTTCGAAATTATTTCGAAATTATTTCGTAATTATTTTCGCATGTCTGGTGCAAGCTTTATAGTTGTTGTTTGTTTTATCACACCAACAGTCAGACGTGATGGATTCGTTATATGAATGTATTGATGTTATATTGATGTACTGATGTATTGTTATATTGATGTAGTTGCCTTAGTTACTGTTTTAAATGCTAATGTTGTGCACTTTGTATATTGACCTGGCTGTAAACCGCACTGAGTCGCCTACGGGCTGAGAGAGTGCGGTATACAAATAAAGTAAATAAATAAATAAATAAATAAACAGTCAACAACAGAGGGAGAGGGAAGCTTCAGAAGTTCCCCCTGTCCCATTTGGAGGTTTTTTTTTTTAGCATATTGCGCAATCGCGTCCGCCATTAACGAATCGATTTGTAATTATACGAAATTTCGTAAATTTCGAAATTTTTAAAAGGAAAATTTCGGAATTCTTTAAAAAAACGAAACGCGATGGACCCCTAAAAACGAAACGAGTTTAGAAACAAATTTTTCCGTTGTTACCCAGGCCTAGTAGTTTCCTGAAAGTCAGGAGGGAGGGAGCAGATCTAATCTCTAGTGGGAGGGAGTTCTATGCCAGTGTTTCTCAATCTTCCTAATGCCGCGACCCCTTAATACAGTTCCTCATGTTGTGGTGACCCCCAACCATAAAATTATTTTCGTTGCTACTTCATAACTGTAATTTTGCTACTGTTATGAATCGTAATGTAAATATCTGATATGCAGGATGTATTTTCATTCACTGGACCAAATTTGGCACAAATACCCAATACGCCCTCATTTGAATACTGGTGGGGTTGCGGGGAGGTTGATTTTGTCATTTGGGAGTTGTAGTTGCTGGGATTTATAGTTCACCTCCAATCAATTGATTGAATGAGCTGGAAAGAGAAGGCCGAAACTGCTTTCAGGAAAAGTGAAAGAGGAATTAGAATCTGGTATAGAATAGGGAAGAGAAAAGGGGAAATAGGGAAGTATGGAGTACAGAATTCGAAGGAATGGTTGTGTCTAAGATAGGGAATTTATAGAATTAGTGGGTGTTATATAGGTTAAGTGTTAATAGATAGAAGGGGGAAGTCACAGCAGAGGGGACTCTGCCCCTCATGATACTCTGGATGGGTGTGAGGAGGTCCTTCCGAGCAGCCCCTTCATCAAGGAAGGGGTCTAGGGAACTGGGAGGGGGGGTTATGTGGTTTAGATGGACTGCGCTCCCTCATTTCTCTCCGAAAAATCCTATCCTAGTTATATTTTACCTTGTTCACGTCAGCATATTTTCAATTTTAATCTATTACATTTGGCCCGGCCATTTTTAAAATTGTTTATGTCACTATTGATTGTTTTTTGTTTATGTGATTTATATGATTTGTATTTTATTGATTGTTTATTGTTGTTGTGTTTATTGATGTTTTGTTTGATGTACTTTGGGCTTGGCCTCATGTAAGCTGCACCGGGTCCCTTGGGGAGATGGTAGCGGGGTACAAATAAAGATGATGATGATGATGATGATGATGATGTATTATTATTATTAGATCAGGAAAAAGGAACAGCTACAAATCAGATCAATATAGTGGAAGTGACCTGGGGAAAGGGAAGGGAAAGTACAAATAGGATCAATGGGGGATGAAATAAATGTTCTATCGATTAATGTGAATGGGCTTTTGTCTCCAGTTAAAAGGCCAAAAATTGGCAGACTGTTACTGGAACAGCAGGTTGACATATGTCTAATTCAGGAATCCCACCAAAAAAAAAAAAAAAGGACAGAACAAAATTGTTGAACCTAAAAAGCTGGGAATTACAATAAGAATCCCAGGGATCAAATAAGTCAAGAGGAATGGCAATATTAGTAATGGACACCCATGGATTTAAACTAGAGGAAAAAAAGCAGATAAGGAAGGATGATTTGTCATGATAAGGGGAAAATTAAACAATAGTGAAATCACTATAGCAAATATCTATGCCCCTAATAAAAATCAGTTAGGATTCCTTCAAAAGTAGTGCCAAAATTGAATTTCACCATGCAGTTTATGAGGCTGATATTGATTGGAGTTGTGTTATGTCTGCAGCTGTTGTTGCATTATATTGATCTTAACTGGGGGTGGTGGTGATATGATGTTGATTGTTATTGTGTTATTGTCATTGATTTTTTTTTTGTGTTTTCTGTTTTTGCACTTTTGAGTGCTTTGTGAGCCTCCCCGAGTCATTCCGGGAGATGGTGGCCAGGTATAAATAAAGTATTATTATTATTATTATTATTATTATTATTATTCAACTATTATTATTAGTAGCCAACTATGTAAGCTGACAACTTTAGTTCCAAGGGATTTTTTACTAGGGAGCATAGACGCAAAATTCAAATTTTCGGTCTTTGGATGGAAAAAAGTATGCATTAAGTAGACCAGGCATGCAAAAACGGCCCAGTTGTATTGTGTCTTAGTGTATTGTTTATTGCTTGTTGTTTAATATTGCTTTAACTGTTTTTAATTTGCATTAGGATGTGTAAACGTCAGGAGAAATGCCTCTAGAACATGGCCCTATAGCCCGAAAAAATCTACAAGAACCTAGGATGTGTATTGTTATGTTGTGTTTTGAGGCCTTGGACTTTGTAAGCCGCATCGAGTCCTTCGGGAGATGCTAGCGGGGTACAAATAAAGATAATAATAATAATAATAATAATAATAATAATAATAATAATTGGGCCTTTTGGGCCTTTTGCCTACTTTCCCCTAACCATGTGGTGATCTGGAAAATAAAATAATGAGAAAGTGTTGGTTTCTAATGTATGTAATTTCTTTATGCTTGTGGGAAAACAGTATTTCTTGTTGTTTCTTTATCAGTGTTAATGTAGAGACTGTCCAGTTTGCCTACTCTGGAACATGCAACATATCATTGTCATTCTTTAGGGGTCCCTTTCAAATCTATGATACTATATCTCTCTTATATGTGTGTGAATTATCTGTCTCTATCTATATCTATGGCTGGATGACTCTTTGTCAGGAGGGCTTTGATTATGTTTTCTTGCCCTGGTGAAGGGAGTTGGACTGGATGGCCTTAAGGCAGCATTTCTCAACCTGGGGTCGGGAATCCTGGTAGGGCCACGAGGGGGTGTCAGAAGGGTTGCCAAAGACCACCAGAAAACACAGTATTTTCTGTTGGTCATGGGGGTTCTGTGTGGGAAGTTTGGCCCAATTCTATCATTGGTGTGGTTCAGAATGCTCTTTGATTGTAGGTGAACTATAAATCCCAGCAAACTACAACTCCCAAATGTCAAGTCTATTTCCCCCAAAACTCCACCAGTGTTCACATTTGGGCACATTGAGTATTTGTGCCAAGTTTGGTCCAGATCCATCATTGTTTGAGTCCACAGTGCTCTCTGGATGTAGGTGAACTACAACTCCAAAACTAAAGGTCAATGCCCACCAAACCCTTCCAGTATTTTCTGTTGGTCATGGGAGTTCTGTGTGCCAAGTTTGGTTCAATTCCATCTTTGGTGGAGTTCAGAATGCTCTTTGATTGTAGGTGAACTATAAATCCCAACAACTACAACTCCCAAATGACAAAATCAATTTTTTTTGAGTGATGGTCACTCCTTGGGTTAGTAGGTGTCTTGTGGCCAAGTTTGGCGGCAATTTGTCCAGCAGATTTTGATTTATGATGTGCCACTCAAAATGAACAGAGCATTTATATATAGATAGACTAACCATCCCCTGCCACATGTTGCTGTAGCCCAGTCTGTGTATATGTGTTTTGTGTGTGTATATATATGTGTGTGTGTGTATATGTGTATATGTGTATATATGTGTGTTTGTGTATATATGCATGAGTTGTAATGCATTTTTTTGTTTTTTGGCTTTTTAAGTCTCTTCTGCTGTGTTTTTCAATGTTTTTATGAGTGACGGTCACTTGTTGGCCTGATGTGTATTGTGTCCAAATTTGGTGTCAATTTGTCCAGTGGTTTTTGAGTTATGTTAATCTCACAAACGAACATTACATTTTTATTTATAGACTAGCTGTGCCCTGCCACGCGTTGCTGTGGCCACATGGGGGTTCTGTGTGGGAGGTTTGGCCCAATTCTATCATTGGTGGGGTTCAGAATGCTCTGTGATTGTAGGTGAACTATAAATCCCAGAAACTACAACTCCCAAATGTCAAGATTCTATTTTCCTCAAACTCCACCAGTGTTCACATTTGGGCATATTGAGTATTCGTGTAGAGTTTGGTCCAGATCCATCATTGTTTGAGTCCACAGTGATCTCTGGATGTAGGTGAACTACAACTCCAAAACCAAAGGACACTCACCAAACCCTTCCAGTATTTTCTGTTGGTCATGGGAGAACTGTGTGCCAAGTTTGGTTCAATTCCATCATTGGTGGGGTTCAGAATGCTCTTTGATTGTAAGTGAACTATAAATCCCAGCAACTACAACTCCCAAATGACAAAATCATTTTTTTTTGAGTGAAGGACATACATTGGGTTGTTAAGTGTCTTATGTCCAAATTTGGTGTCAATTTGTCCAGTGGTTTTTTAGTTCTGTTAATCCCACAAACGAACATTACATTTTTATTTATAGAGATTGCAACTCCATTGATTTGTCTCGTAGCATGATTACTAGCATCTCCATTGATATCAGTTCAGCTAAGTGTTTAGGAAGATGAGAGTGAAAAGCAAAACTTACCATTCTGGATTCCAGCTTGGCCAACTGCTCTTCATATTGCGGGGAGAACCTGTCACTGATATTTATCCAATGGAAAAGACGCCTACTTTTCCAGCAGAAGAGGCGGAAATGAAGTATTTTCCCCTCCCAAAGTATCTGTAACTAGTCATTATATTGCTCTCAGTCCCACACTGTTCTGGGGATATGTGACACAATGTCCATATTCTGGTTTCAAGGTGTTCTTTATCAACATCCCCAGATCTGGTACAAGGGACGAGACCCTTCATTGCCTCCATGCAGAACAAGCTGCACTTCCATTAAAAGCAAACACCACCTTCTTTAAAGACATTACCCGGTGCATTGACTCCTCCAGGGGAACAGGGCAGCCAATGTGGTCTTCTCCATTATATAAATATCAATGTCAGGCTCTCTCTACAATTTTATGTGACATATATGACTTCTGAGCAAAAGCAGTTGGCCAGCTGGAAATCCAGAATGGATTTGCAATCCCAGGCAACAGCAGGATTGAAGGGAAACAACTGGAAAAGCTGGCATGATGTGAGGATTTAAAGATGGAACTGCAAAACTCTGGCACAAGCCAGTCAAGGTGGTCCATGTGGTGATCGGCACACTGGGTGCAGTGCCTAAAGACCTTGGCCTGCACTTAAATACAATCGGCGCTGACAAAATAACTATCTACCAGCTGCAAAAGGCCATCTTGCTGGGATCCGCATGCATTATTTGCCGATACATCACACAGTCCTAGACACTTGGGAAGTGTCCGACATGTGATCCAATACAGCAACCAGCAAAGTGATTTTGTTTGCTGTGTACTCACCTTGTTGTGTTTTAAATAATAATAACAACAACAACAATAATAATTTTTCATCTTGAGACAATAGGATTCCCAGTAAGAAGCAGCAGGAAAGTCTTGCTTGTAGGAGTGCATCTACATTCAGAGGCGGCCCTAGGTAATTTTCAATGGTAAGCAAACAGTATCTTGGCGCCCCCCCCCCCCAACCAATCACTGATATATATTTTCTGTTCGTCGTGGGGGTTCTATGTGCCATATTTGGTTCAATTGCATCATTGGTGGAGTTCAGAATGCTCTTTGATTGTAGGTGAACTAGGCATCCCAGTAACTACAACTCGCATATGTCAAGGTCTATTTTCCCCCAAGAGCGCCCCTGGGCAAAATCAACTATACTGCAAATGCTTACTTGGCGTAATGGGTTGAGCCGCAACTTCTACATTGTATAATTAACACAGTTTAACATCACCTGAACTGCGTGGGTTGAGTGGTATGGAATCCTGGCAGTTATAGGTTGGTGAAGCACCTGAAACTCTTTGGCAGTGAAGGCTGAAGATCTCATAAAACTATAACTCCCACAGTTCCATAGCATTAAACCAGCACAGTTCATGTGGTGTTGAACTGCATTAAATTCAACAATGTAGATGCACACATTCTGCCAACCTAGCAGTTCGAAAACATGCAAATGTAAGTAGATCAATAGGTACTGCTTCGGCAGGAAGGTAACGGCGCTCCATGCAGTTATACTGGCCACATAACCTTGAAGGTGTCTACAGACAACGCTGGCTCTTTGGTTTAGAAATGGAGATGAGCATCAACCCGAGTCTGACACGACTGAATGTCAGGGGATAACCTTTACCTTTACCTACCTAGATGCACACTCTGTGTGTCTTTTTCATGGCCATAACTCAACTCAAAAGTGACCTCTGTGGTCGCCAAGGAACGCTTGCCAATGGTGCACTGTGCCACCTCATTGCAGAAAGGCAACATTGCGCTATCAATGCACAATGAGCCTTGACATGGAACATGCATTTCACAATTACGTGCAACAATGGCATCACACCCATAAAGTCCATTATCCATAATCCTTCCAATGCTTGTGCTTTGCACAGGTATATCACACCAATAAGATGCATGACTCATCAGTTTATTCATTCATGACTAAAGGACTCGTCATGTTTTAAAAAGTACAAAGAGTTGAAGGGTCATCTTCTTTGTAGAACTTATATTTACAGGTTTCAGGATCAACCACCGATATGCATCCTTCCATAACTGCAATGCCACCAAACCTAAAAAGAAAAGGAAATAGGAAAAGTTGGAAACTTGTAAAGATTTGCAGTTTTTCTGCCAACAAGAAAAAAGTTTTTTAAAAAAAAATTAGGAAGACTTTTGGCAATCAACTTTAGAGGTTGTAAACTACACACACACACACACACACACACACTAGCCATCCCCTGCCACGCGTTGCTGTGGCCCTCATGGGGATTCTGTGTGGGAGGTTTGGCCCAATTCTATCCTTTGTGGGGTTCAAAATGCTCTGTGATTGTAGGTGAACTATAAATCCCAGCAACTACAACTCCTGGATGTCAAGATTCTATTTTCCCCAAACTCCACCACTATACATATTTGGGCATATTGAGTATTCGCGTAGAGTTTGGTCCAGATCCATCATTGTTCGAGTACACAATGATCTCTGGATGTAGGTGAACTACAACTCCAAAACCAAAGGACACTGCCCACCAAACCCTTCCAGTATTTTCTGTTGGTCATGGGAATTCTGTGTGCCAAGACTGGTTCAATTTCGTCGTTGCTGGAGTTCAGAATGCTCTGTGATTGTAGGTGAACTATAAATCCCAGCAACTACAACTCCTGAATGTCAAGATTCTATTTCCCCCAAACTCCACCAGTGTTCAAATTTGGGCATATTGAGTATTTGTGTAGAGTTTGGTCCACATCCATCATTGTTTGAGTACACAGTGATCTCTGGATGTAGGTGAACTACAACTCCAAAACCAAAGGACACTGCCCACCAAACCCTTCCAGTATTTTCTGTTGGTCATGGGAGAACTGTATGCCAAGACTAGTTCAATTCCGTCGTTGCTTGAGTTCAGAATGCTCTTTAATTGTAGTGAACTATAACTGCCAGCAACTACAACTCCCAAGTGTCAAGGTTATTTTCCCCAAACTCCACCAGTGTTCACATTTGGGCATACCAAGTATTTGTGCCAAGTTTGGTCCAGATCCATCATTGTTTGAGTCCACAGTGATCTCTGGATGTAGGTGAACTACAACTCCAAAACCAAAGGACACTGCCCACCAAACCCTTCCAGTATTTTCTGTTGGTCATGGGAAAACTGTGTGCCAAGTTTGGTTCAATTCCATCATTGGTGGGGTTCAGAATGCTCTTTGATTGTAGGTGAACTATAAATCCCAGCAACTACAACTCCCAAATGACAAAATCATTTTTTTTTGAGTGAAGGACATACATTGGGTTGTTAGGTGTCTTGTGTCCAAATTTGGTGTCAATTCGTCCAGTGGTTTTTGAGTTCTTTTAATCCCACAAACGAACATTACATTTTTATTTATATAGATATATAAATATAGATATATACCGTATATTCCGGCATATAAGACGACTGGGCGTATAAGACGACCCCCCAACTTTTCCAGTTAAAATATAGAGTTTGGTATATACTCGCCGTATAAGACCACCCCTCTTCCATTGCACACCAAATAAAAATAAAAAATAAAAACATCAGATTTGATTTCAAATCCAAGACTATCAAAGCAGTATCCAGCTCTTCGGCTTAGAAATGGAGATGAGCGCCAACCCCCAGAGCCGGACACGACTGGACTTAACGTCAGGAGAAAACCTTTACCTCACCTGTAAACTCCTGTATGTTTATTATTTATTTAACAGTTGTGGGTCCATGGAGCGTAATAAAGTTCTATAAATTTTTACCTTACCTTACCTAGAGTGAGACCAGGGCCGGGTCCAATGTCCTTTCCCCAACAACAACAACAATAATGGAAACCTAGAATTGGAAGGGACTCCAACGGCCATCCAGTCTAACCCTAATTCTGCCAGACAGGAACACATGTCCAAGCCCTCCCGACAGACGGCCATCCTGTTCTACTTAATAATAGCAATAGCAACAATAATAGCAATAACAACAACAATAATAATAGAAGGGACCTCAATGACCATTCAGTCCAACCCCATTCCTGCCAGGCAGGAAGACACAATGCAAGCCTTCCTAACAGGTGGCCATACAACTCTGCTTAACAATAACAACAACAACAGAACGCTAGAGTTGGGACTCCAATGGCCATCCATTCCAACCCACTCACTCCTGCCAGGCAGGAAGACACAATGCAAGCCTCCCCAACAGGTGGCCATCCAGTTCTAGTTGCCATATATACTCGAGTATAAGCTGACCCGAATATAAGCTGAGGCACTTAATTTTACGACCAAAAACTGGGAAAATTTATTGACTTGAGTATAAGCCAGGGGAGGGAAATGCAGCAGCTAGTGGTAAGCTGAGGGGACAGAAGTTGTCATAAAGCCATCTTGTGCAGCTTTAAGGATCTTAGAGGTATGGGTGATAAATCAATATCCCACCTCTGCACTACCAATTATAATAACTCAAAAGAGGCTTTTATAGGGTTTGAGGGGATGTCACGTTGTGTAAAACTTTCGCTGCCACCAAACTAAAGAAATCACGACCCCTCTAGCTATTAGTCTAATAAAAGGCTGTTTAAAATTACCACAAGGCTTTTTTTTACTCCACCATTAAAAATACTGTTGTATTAACAAGGGCTTTCTTAGAGGGGAAAACAAGAGAGGTTGATTTCAAAAGAAAGGGACTCAAAACCAAAAATAGCACTTGATTCAGACTTTAGGTTTCAAAACAATCAAGAAAGAGTTTATTGAATACAAATTCAGAAATAACACAAGAATGCAGGTACTGAGGCTTGATGGTTACAGATAAAAGTGTTCTTGTTTCTTATAAGCGTATTGGTTTCTAGAGAGAATGTTCTTTCTTAGTTACAGTTTCATTAAACGCAGAACCCAGCTATTTTTCTCAAAAGTAGCTGTAATCTCAGTCTGTCACAGCCTACTGTGCTGTACAGACTAAAGGCAAACTGCCTATTTTAAACAGAGATTCCTAAACAATCCAACTTCTACACTAATCTCTCTCTCAGAACTCAAACTGCTCTCTACTCTTCTCAGATCTCAGCTGAACTCACTCTCAAACTGTCAAAACTCACTGTTCTCTTTCCCTCCTTCTGCCTAACTCCGCCCCTATTCTCTAAACCAATCCTAGCTGTTGCTGGGCTGGCACAGGCCTCAGCCACTCCCCCTTCTGCCCTGGAGCTTTTCCCTACTCTAAAATGGCTCCAGCAGCACTCTGCCAGGCCTTCCAAGCTGAATCTACCTAGCCTGTCTTTTCCTGGCCCTGCCACCCTGGCTGGCAAGGTAAGGGATCTTTACATGCAGCTTCCAAAACCCAACACTTGAGAAGATTTTGCACTGCAGCCAGGTATTTCCAAGGTCAGGCCCAGGGGCTTGATGAATATACCCTTTTTGAGATGGATCTAAATCAGGCATGGGCAAACTGTAGCCCTCCAGGTGCTTTGGACTTCAACTCCCACAATTCCTAACAGTCAGTATTTGAGAACACAGAAATGCTGGACCACTCTCACAACCACCATGTCAGACTACACAGAGAAGCCATTGAAATCCACAAGCATGTGGACAATTTCAACAGAAAGGAGGAAACCATGAAAATGAACAAAATCTGGCTACCAGTATTTTAAAAAAACCTCTAAAATCAGGACAGTAAATAAAAAACAACACTCAAAAGCAGGGGAAATCCAGACAATAAAAAATCAGGACCAACTAACACCTCCCAACAAAGGATTCCCCCAGGCAGGAAGCAGCCAGGCTTTGAAGCTGCAAGGCCATTCATTGCTAATCGAGGTAGCCAATGGCAACATTCCCACTTGCCTCAAGCAGACAAGAGTTCTTTCTCCCACCCTGGACTTTCCACAGATATATAAACCCCACTTGCCATGTTTCCAACAGACCTCACAACCTCCAAGGATGCCTGGCATAGATCTGGGCAAAACATCAGGAGAGGACACTTCTAGGATGCTTCTCTACCAGGCATGGGCAAACTTTGCCTATGCCTGGTGTTAGGAATTGTGAGAGTTGAAATTCAAAACAATCTGATAGAAAACTGGGACTTGTAGTTTGGTATGGTACTGGCTCTCTTAAACAGGGAAGGCTAAGGACCTTGTAAAACTACAACTCCTGTGATTCCATGGCACTGAATCTGTGGCAGTTATTTGGGGGGGGGATTCCCCTTTAAGAATAGATGGCCCTTGCACTGGGACTTCCCCTTTAAGGCTGCCTCGTTCTTGGCTGCAGAAACAAAACCAAACGGGGGAAAGAGACCTTTTTCTTCCTCCTTCTGCAGGCTATTTAAAACTTTTAAAACTTAGGAGCGGCTGTTCTTTCAGAGGGAGCTGAGCACAGAGACAGGAAAGAAACCCCAAAGAGGGGAGGGAGAAAGAAGAAGTTTCTGCAGCAGGACTTTCTCGGAGGTGCCTTTGTTTTGACTCTCCTTGAGTAGCACTGTTTGAGGGAGGAGAGGAGAGGGAGAAAGAGGCTGGGAATGGGAGGCTTGGGGGAAGCCTCTTCTGCCCCTTTTTCCTGCAGGAGGAGGAGGGGGAGGAGGAGGAGCGGCAGCTGCTGCGCTGCTTGGGGATGGCGAGGGGGGAGGAGGAGGAGGATCGGCAGGTCTGCCGGGAGGGCTGGCCAGCTGAGCTGCGAGACCAGCAGGCTCCCTTTGGCCTCTCATGGCTGCTCGCGTCCCTCTCTCTCGGCATCCTCAAGTGGTGGAACTTATAGCCGGCACACAAGACGACCCCCCCACTTTTAAGATGACTTTCTTGGCTTAGAAAGTCGTCTAATATGCCAATTTTTACGGTACCTGTAACCATGTTTCTTCGAGTGGTTATGGATAATAGGAGTTATAGTTTGGTGAGGCACCGCCACTCTGGCAGAGAAACATGAGCAACCTTAGATATGCAGATGATACCACTTTGATGGCTGAAAGTGAGGAAGAGCTGAGGAGCCTCCTAACCAAGGTGAATGAGGAAAGTGCAAAGGCTGGGTTGCAGTTAAACATCAAAAAAACCAAGTTCATGGCAACAAAAATGATTGACAACTGGAAAATAGAGGGAGAAACCGTGGAGGCCGTGACAGACTTTGTATTTTTAG